TAGTGAGTGTGTGTTATTATTATTATTGCCATTTATATAGCGCCAACGGATTCCGTAGCGCTTTACTAGAGTGTGAGTGTTAGTGAGTGTGTGTGTGTCTGTTAGTGTGTGTCTGTTAGGGAGTGTGTGTGTGTCTATTAGTGTGTGTGTGTCTGTTAGTGAGTGTGTTAGAGTGTGAGTGTTAGTGAGTGTGTGTGTGTCTTTTAGTGAGTGTGTGTGTGTCTGTTAGTGAGTGTGTGTGTGTCTGTTAGTGTGTGTGTGTCTGTTAGTGAGTGTGTGTGTCTGTTAGTGAGTGTGTGTGTCTGTGAGTGTGTGTGTGTGTCTGTTAGTGTGTGTCTGTGAGTGTGTGTGTCTGTGAGTGAGTGTGTCTCTGCTAGTGAGTGTGTGTGTTTGACTGTGTGTCAGTGAGTTTGTGTTTCTGTTAGCTAGTGTACGCGTATCTGTCAGTGAGTGTGTGTGTATTTAGAAGGCGGGGGGAAGGGATGGGTGGGGGTCGCGCGCGCGGGGGGGAAGGGATGGGTGGGGGTCGCGCGCGGGGGGGGTTGGGGGGCGCCTGAGTTTTGTCCTGCCTAGGGCAGCACAAAACCAGGATACACCACTGGTTGTTGGGCCGCCTGGAGTTTGGTGCGCACGGCCTGGGTTAGTGCCTCCAAGCAGCCCCTGAACTCCAGCACATATGGTACAATGGGTGTCCCATCTGTGCTACTCTCCCCCTCCCAGTGCTCTCTAATTAAAGCTAACGGCCCTCGCACCCTTCTTCCAAACAGCAATTAGAAAGGGGAAAACCCTGTCGACTCCTGGGGTACCTCTCTATAGGCGAAGAGCAGATGGGGTAGAAATCGCTCTCAGTCTTTATGAGCCTCTCCAAACGTACAGAGCATCTGTTTCAGGGTACCCTTAAACCTTTTGTGGTGTATCACCAAATTAATATATATATTACACAAGGTTCATCTACATTAAAAGGTATTTATTAAAAGGCAACAACACAATACTATAAATGTATCACAAACACACAGCCCAGACCCACGGAGCAACAACCCTTTTTAAATCTATCTATATAGTAATCCCCTTCCCCATACGTTTGATCTCACCCACGGTTAGGCCTTCACATCTAGTAATGGCTCACTGCTGCAAGTTCAACATCACATCCACCAAGGAAGAAAAGGAAGCAACAGAGTGTAACATGGTTCACCAAGATAGCATATGGCATCTGCTCTGTAGCACAGCCAAAAAGGAACAGAAAGGAATGGAGATAGGGGGAAGTGGTTATCTCTTTCCTGACTTGTAAAGGTATTGAATTACCCAATTACCATATCAAAGGGTAAAGCTTATCCCCCTGTAAGAAAGGCATACATGAGCTTGGTCACATGACCACTGGTCACCATATTAACTTGATGACAGAATGTCACCACATTCCCTCACTTTTTCTTCTCTTATGTTGAGCACATTTAAAAATAATAATATATCCATCTTATCTATCTAAACTATGAGATCTGAAGTAGGAAAGGAGAGCACAGGAATTATAGTGAGTGAGATAAGCAAGGTGAAAGAAAACAGTCAAATAGGGGTTGCATCACCCCACATTCCCCCACTTTTTCTTCTTCTATGTTGCTCCATTATCTAGTTATCCCTCTAGTACAAGAGAACCTAGTGGGAGCAAAAACCTGATATACAGGAGAAATTCAACCCACCGTCCCTCCGGAATAGTTCCCTCAGCGACATAAGTTCTCCTGTACTTTCCTATGGCTGTCAATTCACATATTATACAAAGTGTCACAAAAAAAACAGAACTTATAGAATTTAGGTGAGTGTGTGTGTGCAATGTTAAACTTTATTGAAGAATGTATGAGAGAGAGAAACAAAAAAATATATATCTCCCTTTTCAAGTTACTTCCTCATCTATTTCACACAAAAGTATAGTGTAATTATGAGCATGAGTACTAGCGGCAATTTTTTTAGGACTGGATGTGATATTTGCAGAATTCCATACTCTAAATCCAGTTCCGACTCCTCCCAGTAGAGATGCAAATTGTCCCATTTTATTGATTCCCTGCTTTGCCTAAACGACTGCAGCTGTTGTTCCGGACACCTTGGAGGAATAGAAGGATTATTAAAATGTAGACTCTAATCTTCTCCCTTATTTGGAGTATCTTCTGGGCGTATTGCCTGTCTCCCCATCCCTACTGTAACAAAGATCCACCACGATCTTCTGTTGATACACATCATCATCCTAATACAGCTTTGCCTTGATCTGTGGGAACACTAGATCTTATCATTAGAAAGGTATAGCTAAATGGGAGACTGGAAGACTGAGAGAAAGAACAAAACAAAAGAAAAACAAACATACATACAGATGTAGAGAGCAACAAAAACTTATGAGTGTTATTGATTGCTGGGACCCCCCAATTGATCAATCTTTTCCTCCTCGCTCATCTGTTCCCTCAGTGCTTTCACGTCTGCCTCCAGTCTTTCAGTCTGTCTCTTTAGGTCCAAGTAGTCTCTATTCCCTTCTTTATTCCTCCAATTATCCCTATTCCGTCTATTGGTCTGATGCTCATCCCATCTATGGTTGATTCTCCAATTATTCTCCCAATAACTGTTCCTGTTGTTTCTCCGTTTTTCTCCCCAGTTGTGATTTTCCCAGTTAATATCTGTCCTATTTAGCCTCTCCCAGGTATTTTTATTATTCCTATTATTATTGATTACCTATTATTATTAATTACCATCTATTCCTCCAATTATCTCCCATTACATTACTTCCTTTAGCACTGTCCCTATTCCTATGGTCCCTATGTGGATCTCTCCATCTTTTGTCAAATTCCTGTTTTGGCCTCTTGTTCTCGGGTACATCCCACCTCTGGCTTCTCCATTTACCATCTATATCTCTACCAGAGTCGACCTTGAATGTTCTTATGGCTGAAACAGAGAAGGCCTGTTCTGAGGAAGGATGCTTGATCCACCAACTGTCAGCTCTAGTTAGTACCATTTCTTAGTCTGCTGGCGTTGGATCAAAAAGCCTCACAAATTCTTGACACTCCCAGGGAAGGGCCTCCATTACTTTAGCAATGTGTTCTGGTGACCCAAGACCAGAGGCTGTTGAGGTTGGCGTAGCGTATACCAGAACAATATCCTCTCTAGGACCATCTGCTGGCATCATCATAATATTAGCTATTTCTTTCTCAATGCTGAGTAGATAGAAATTTGTTGCAGCAATTCTTCCTGCCTGATCAGACACACTGTTATTAAATCCAAATAGTCTCCTAGCCATATTCTAACAGTTCTGTCCATTCTTCTAGTTAAGACCTCCTTTTTTTTGCTCTATTTGCTCCCCTCATAAACAAATGTGTAAAGGTGTTCAAGTCGTCAGTTGGCATACTTCCCCACCATTTCTGGAAATTATCTTTGTCTATGATTGACATAGTCCTTGTCTGTCTAGAGAAGCTAGTAGGCATTTCTCTTACATTAAAATGTTCAGTTATTATTATAGGGGCTTGTGGGACACAGTTTACAATTGGCACATTTCCCTTGTGTTTTGTTCCCAGCACTGGTTCTTTACTTTCAGATATAAAATATGACTGGTCTGGGCATACTCTAGGAATCTCCTTATCCCATTTATTTGTGTTTTCTTTAATTTTCATTTTATATTCCATGACTAGGTCTTGGAGTTCAGTGATCTTAGCACTATATGCATCTCTCTGTTGCTCTATTTCTCTTAACTCCTTTTCTAGTTCCCCAACAATTGTAGTTGTTCTCAAAGCTGCAATTTTTAAACAATCCCTTTTGTCCATTGCTTCCTCCATTTTATTTGTTGTTTCCAAATTATGCTGCCGTAATTCTACAACTATGTTTATTAAGCCTCCTATTGTGGCTACAACAGCTTGTGTGACCAAACTTTTTCTTTTATTTGTTCTATACTTTTTGTTATTTACAATTTGTGTTAGTACATCCATTAATCTCTCCTCTTTTTCACTGTCTGTGTTTGCTGGCTCTGGAAGCTCATATGGACCATCATGTTTTTGAATATGTTTCCTAAAGTACTCATGTACTTCTGTGGAAAAGTATTTGGCCCCTTGAAAAGACAATGCTACTCTTTTACTCACCCAGGTAAGAACCTAATTTAAATCAATTTGCAACTAAAGTAGCATGCTTCTGAATAGCCAGCAATAGTTGATGTCTATTCAGTAGGCCAGGTGTAAATAGAAAAAAACAAAACTCAATTACCTTCATATGCTAAACACAATGGGTGGGGAACACAATATCCACAACTCTACTGTGAAGCTTGACTTAGGATATGGCCTAAACACACGCCCAGTTTTGTTATATGTAGAAAAATAGACTAGTATCCACAATGCAAATTATATTTACCTTAGTATGGTGAAGGTAATACTTGCTAATTAACTTCAAAACCAGTAGTGCCTAAATTAGCATATTAAAATATAATAGCAAGGCCTGGAGGGTAGGAGTTATACCTGAACTAGGATATTCAAGACACACACAAAAAAGTATAAAGTATGGAAGCCTGTAGTGTATTAAAATGCAGGCCTGAAATAAATAAAAAAATAATTTCTCTAGGCCTGTACTATGATAGAATATTTGAAACACACAAAAAAACCTTTATTATACCTTTGTTTTATGTAGCAAAATAAGCTAGTACAATATAAAGGATTAAAAACAATAATATGTTCAAAATTGAGGCCTATGCTGGTAGTGTATTAAACAATTAAATGAAGGCCTGAACAAACTACTAGGCCTGAACTATGGTAGTCAAAACACAACAAACTCAGATATTTGAAAGACCTTGGTACAAAATACACCTGCCAAAGTCAGCATAATTATTTCAAACATTATTTTAAAGCATATAGAGCAGAAAGAGTTTAACTATTTCATATCCTTACAGTCAGCACTAATGATTATAAACCTTATCTAAGCATAAAATACATATGAACAAGAAAAGTTAACTACTTCATATGCTTACATTCCCCTCTTTGAGCAAAAACTTGCTCATTTTATCGGTTAAAATCTTCCCAGGACAGAGACACTTCCACATTATGGTATTCCCAAGCAATCATGTGGTCTACAAGAAACAAAAACTCAGCAGGAAAAAAGACACTTAATACTTTTGCAGACAGATATATAGAACATGGATGTTTAAGACAAAATGGAACTTGAGCTTATAGCAAATTTACAGAAGAAAATGAAGGAAAGGGACCTCAGTTGAGAAAAAGGATAAATGAGTCATTTATTACACATGAGTTTACAGAGGAAGAGGTTCTATTTCAACTGTCAAAAGTAAAGACAAATAAGTCAATGGGACCTGATGGAATACACCCAAAGCTATTAAAAGAGCTTAGTGGTGTACTAGCAAAACCATTAACAGATTTATTTAACCAATCATTGTTAACAGGAGTAGTCCCAGAAGATTGGAAGTTAGCGAATGTTGTGCCCATTTACAAGAAAGGTAATAGGGAGGAGTCGGGCAACTATAGGCCAGTAAGCCTTACTTCAGTAGTGGGGAAAGTGATGGAAACCATGTTAAAGGATAGGATTGATGAACATCTAAAACCACATGGATTTCAAGATCAGAGACAACATGGGTTTACTTCAGGGAGATCATGCCAAACTAATCTTATTGATTTTTTTGATTGGGTAACTAAAATTATAGATCAGGGTGGTGCAGTAGACATTGCTTACCTAGATTTCAGTAAGGCTTTTGACACTGTTGCACATAGAAGGCTTATCAATAAACTGCAATCTTTAAGTTTGGATTCAAATATTGTTGAATGGGTAAGGCAGTGGCTGAGTGACAGGCAACAGAGGGTTGTAGTTAATGGAATATATTCGAAGCTTGGACTTGTCACCAGTGGGGTACCTCAGGGATCTGTACTTGGACCCATTCTCTTTAATATTTTTATTAGTGATATTGCAGAAGGTCTTGATGGTAAGGTATGTCTTTTTGCTGATGATACTAAGATATGTAACAGGGTTGATGTTCCAGGAGGGATAAGCCAAATGACAAATGATTTAGGTAAACTAGAAAAATGGTCAGAATTGTGGCAACTGACATTTAATGTGGATAAGTGCAAGATAATGCATCTTGGACGTAAAAACCCAAGGGCAGAGTACAGAATATTTGATAGAGTCCTAACCTCAACATATGAGGAAAGGGATTTAGGGGTGATTATTTCTGATGACTTAAAGGTAGGCAGACAATGTAATAGAGCAGCAGGAAATGCTAGCAGAATGCTTGGGTGTATAGGGAGAGGTATTAGCAGTAGAAAGAGGGAAGTGCTCATGCCATTGTACAGAACACTGGTGAGACCTCACTTGGATTATTGTACACAGTACTGGAGACCGTATCTTCAGAAGGATATTGATACCTTAGAGAGGGTTCAGAGAAGGGCTACTAAACTGGTTCATGGATTGCAGGATAAAACTTACCAGGAAAGGTTAAAGGATCTTAACATGTATAGCTTGGAGGAAAGACGAGACAGGGGGGATATGATAGAAACATTTAAATACATAAAGGGAATCAACACAGTAAAGGAGGAGACTATATTTAAAAGAAGAAAAACTACCACAACAAGAGGACATAGTCTTAAATTAGAGGGACAAAGGTTTAAAAATAATATCAGGAAGTATTACTTTACTGAGAGGGTAGTGGATGCATGGAATAGCCTTCCAGCTGAAGTGGTAGAGGTTAACACAGTAAAGGAGTTTAAGCATGCGTGGGATAGGCATAAGGCTATCCTAACTATAAGATAAGACTAGGGACTAATGAAAGTATTTAGAAAATTGGGCAGACTAGATGGGCCGAATGGTTCTTATCTGCCGTCACATTCTATGTTTCTATGTTTCTAAATATATTATTGCAAATAGCTGACACGTTAACCAATTTTAAACAGACTAACCAGCCGGTCATCTGTATCATAAGTCCTGGGTAAATGTGGGCAAAGTGTATTATTCCCAACAGTTGTTTTCCTTCTTCGTCCACGGAAGTGGGCGCATATAGTCAAAGTGGGAATAATACCTATACCCCGTCCAAGGACCGGGGTCTAGGATTACCAGTCCACCCGATGATCTGGGGCCAGGCAAAAAACCCAGTGGCAAAAACTCATATTTGAGGAAAAAGCACATCTGGGGAAAACCTGAGTGGGGGCCGTGATCGTGTTAGACATGTCATCCCCTCACAGTTGACACCACTTGTGACTTATACTACCCGCACCTGTGAGTACATAGCTCGGATATCGGGAGGAATTGGGAAACACTGCTTACATATTAATTCATGAGATAAATTATAATCTAGCTTGAAATTCTGACAATAATCACAACCAGGACCTTGCGTCCTATATCTTTTAACCATTTCCCTATTTCAAAGGTCCAGTCAAAAACCAGTCATATCCTCACGCAGTTCCTCAAAACATGGGAATCCATCCTTGGCACACTCAACATATATCAAAAACACACATCATCCATTCCTTTGTCAGCTAACACTTCCTCTCTCTCCGGCTAACTCTACAAAAGTAAAAATAAAAATAGTTCAATAGTTCAGCATAGTTCAGAAAAATAGAATAAGTCTTTCACAGAGCATAAAGAAATCAGTTTAGACACCAGACATTTTGTTCCATAAAATGGCTAAGGGTAGCAATATGGCTGACAACAAGACAATGTCAATTTCCACATAGTTCTTCTTTTGTTTGCTGGATTTTCACCACAATGCTCTGTGCAACACCCCAATGGTTGAAAGGGTTATTACAGAACCAGCGGTATAAGACAGCACTGCACCTTTAGGACTTTCCAGGTTCTTGCGTGCAAAGTTTATGTCCTCATAAGTAAGTATCTCAGTTTCTTCGGCCTGCATGGATAATGACCAAACAGATGTAATTGCAAAATACTTATTGCATGGTCAGCCAGAGAGATTGGTGTGTAGTCCCAGAAATCAGGCGGCACAAACACTCCAGGACGGTCTCTACAATCATACAAACACAAGGATCAATTCAACATCAATTAATTAATTACCTTGGCTAAAACTTAAATTAGAGATTAAGGTTAAACCTTTAACTTGTGTAACATGTACTTCTCTTATATTTGCTTATATTTTATGCAATCTGTCTTCTATGAAGTTTTACATAATACCCCTTTGGAATGCCTTTGTACGGATGAGAGAAAAACTCACTTTATAGAAATGCTTGTTAGGATGAATATTAAAACACTAACATATACATATACATTCCCAATAAAACTCTGTTCCTAAACTTGAACCTTGATTTGATACTCAAAATTAATTACTTTAATAGTCTCGAATAATTCAATATTCTTGGATTAACACCTAAAACTATATAAAATATTAAAAACATGAACCATCTGTGTATTAGGCTGGGATTTTTGGGTGTGGGTATAGGTTGGAAGCTGTGGTTGGTATTGAGGAATCTGTGGGGGTGGGTTTGGGCACTCATTTTTTTTCCAGTGACCCTGCTATCCACAATTAGAACAGTGTGTTCCACCAATGCTGAAGTTGCTATCTCTACAAAAGTTAGACTATTTGACCAAATCCTCTACCTCTGCCTTTAAAACTTTTCTGATTCAATCTCCTATCACTTCCCAAATTTCTTTCTTGCCTGCTTAGGATCACAATCCTTGTGACTGATACAACATACCTTTTCCCTCTTTCTTTCTATCAAAACAACCTGCTTTATCTTTCTCATGAATCTTCCCAAGAAATTCATTGGGGGTCAAAAAGGGCCAGTCACAGACCAGCAAGGAACAAAAGTGAACAAGGAGGAAGCATATTCCATATGCAGGTCGGGATTACCAAACTCACACCCCCTCTTTTTGTACCCCTCTTTTTGTACCACACAGATATAATATTAATAAGCTTTTAAAGTTTTAATGGATAGTTTAATTGTGTATATAAAGCAAGGTTGTCTAGGGGTATATACATCGACAATGAGGCTACTAATGGCTACTAAACTGGTTCATGGATTGCGAGATAAAACTTATCAGGAAAGGTTAAAGGATCTTAACATGTATAGCTTGGAGGAAAGACGAGACAGGGGGGATATGATAGAAACATTTAAATATATAAAGGGAATCAACACAGTAAAGAAGGAGACTATATTTAAAAGTAGAAAAACTACCACAACAAGAGGACATAGTCTTAAATTAGAGGGACAAAGGTTTAAAAATAATATCAGGAAGTATTACTTTACCTAGAGGGTAGTGGATGCATGGAATAGCCTTTCAGCCAAAGTGGTAGAGGTTAACACAGTAAAGGAGTTTAAACATGCGTGGGATAGGCATAAGGCTATCCTAACTATAAGATAAGGCTAGGGACTAATGAAAGTATTTAGAAAATTGGGCAGACTACATGGGCCGAATGGTTCTTATCTGCCGTCACATTCTATGTTTCTATGTTTCTATGAAAGCATAGCCTTCATATAGGGCTTGCAATACTGATGGTCTGTGTCATGAGCATAATGCAGACATGCAGTTAGGTACTTTTCCATTGTTATAATATATTGAAAACACTAAGACTTTGCAAATTTTTAAAACACATATTGCTTCCTGTACCTGGTGCCGTGCAAGGATGTAGTTGGGACATATTTCAAATAGAGTAACAAAAGTCTAACCACAAAACTAAATGTTATACACTTTTTAAGAAAACAAGTTTAACCCGTTAGTGCGTACTTTGGATAGCCTCTTTGCATAACTTGGCTCCTAGTGAGATTATTATATTATTTATTAATCCTCTTCTGGATCTGCAAAATGCTTTCAATTTACCCATACAAATATAATACAGTAGTTCAGTAGATTAGGATTACCTCATTTATAAATTTCAGAAATTGTCTAATCTCTCTTAAAAATACCATTTTATTATTACCCCATAATCAATGAGGCATACTAGATGAATCTTACTTTGACACAAACAATGCAATATACTTTAAAAGCAGAGTTAACTCTGAACTGGACAATGCTCCCCTATTAGAACTCCTTTATGAGGGAGAGACATCTTGTCCATTCAATCCTTTTTATCAGTAAAAGAATGACTTTCAGGATTAATCAATTTGCAAATGGAAATGTGGTTTCACGATTTGAACAGCAGAAGTTTGCGAGGCCCCTTTCACGTGGGATGTAACAAGCGCTTTTCTTGCTCCAGGAGCGATAGCATACAATTGTTTCATTCTAGCCGGCTGGACAGCATTTCACCTATTGTAAAAAACACTAAATGCTTGCGTTAATGATATGCAAATCACTCTGCTAGTTATACTCCTACACAGTGGACAATAAAATACATAAAAAACACATAACACACCAATTCATTTCAAACCATATAACTCACACTCAGCATCCAATGTAATATTACATGTCATCTCACAAAACAGACATCTCACAAAACAGACGTAGCAGATACACGTAGCAGATATGCCAATACAGAAAACACATTCATGGGAACGCAACTACACACTCTGTGTCCCTCATAGGAAACACATGTAGACACAATATGAAAGCAGTCTTAAACTAATACCTCCAAATCTCCATTCCCATATAGCTATATCAGACCACAACACAGAGCCTCTCTGAGCTGATAGAACTACTCCAACTCCAACTACTCTTTGCCAAAATGATAGTATTCAACAGCTAATAAAACAGTTAATTGCTAGGTTATTTTTATCAGTATCACTAGACTGAGACAAACTGATTCAAATATAATTTAAAACAACACAGCAACATATAAATTTAACCACTTTCCAGTTAAGCTGCACACTTCACACATTATCACAGTCACCATTTACCCAGAAGAAACATAGAAACATAGAATGTGACCGCAGATAAGAACCATTCGGCCCATCTAGTCTGCCCAATTTTCTAAATACTTTCATTAGTTCCTAACCTTATCTTATAGTTAGGATAGCCTTATGCCTATCCCACGCATGCTTAAACTCCTTTACTGTGTTAACCTCTACCATGCATCCACTACCCTCTCAGTAAAGTAATACTTCCTGATATTATTTTTAAACCTTTGTCCCTCTAATTTAAGACTATGTCCTCTTGTTGTGGTAGTTTTTCTTCTTTTAAATATAGTCTCCTCCTTTACTGTGTTGATTCCCTTTATATATTTAAATGTTTCTATCATATCCCCCCTGTCTCGTCTTTCCTCCAAGCTATACATGTTAAGATCCTTTAACCTTTCCTGGTAAGTTTTATCCCGTAATCCATGAACCAGTTTAGTAGCCCTTCTCTAAACCCTCTCTAAGGTTTTAATATCCTTCTGAAGATACGGTCTCCAGTACTGTGTACAATACTCCAAGTGAGGTCTCACCAGTGTTCTGTACAATGGCATGAGCACTTACCTCTTTCTACTGCTAATACCTCTCCCTATACAACCAAACAGTTAACAGCTGTACTCAGAACATATTATTGTAAGGTATACCAATTTTAGTTTGTATTAGATTTATTTTAGGAATTCTTATGCATACATTAACTTCATTACTTTAATCTACTATAGTATTGTATATAAAGAAAGGATCCATTTATATAGCACGCTCATAACTCAAATATTTGTATGAAACTTCTATTAACTAATCTGAGATGATGCTGCATCAACTTAAATCTTATAGAAATTTTGCAAACATCTGGACCAGATTACACAGACATGGTTTCACCCGAATCTTTCAGAACTCTCAGAGCCTTAATTTTTTTTTATACTATACCATGTTAAAAGGCATGGCAAACCTTGCCTTAGTAACACAGGTAGAAACCTTTGTCCATGATCTCTAAT